TCATACGGTATCTTGTGTTGTGGGTATTCGTACAGTATCCAGTGTTGTGGGTATTCATATAATATGAATATGGCGGATTGCGTTGAAAAACAAAATGGCCTCCATACGACATACAAAATCGTGTAAAGCTAAAAGAGCGCGGGTGGCACACCCATGGAAGTAACTTAGTACTAGTTGGTCCGTCTTATATCCGAGTCAGCAAATTTCACCCTACGTCCATTCAGTCATTGAAACATATCTACCGACAAGAATATGTCTATATATGGGCATTATAGGGATAGTTCCATCCGACGACCTGAATAACTGACACAAGTTCCAAATATGGTCATACAATATGGCCCGTCTCACAACGTGGCCCGACGCCATGACGTGGCGGCAACAGCTGCCACGCTGAGTTAACTAGAGACCCTTTATTCTGGACCCTGACCTCTTTCAACGGGATCATGGACACAACGATAAAAATCCTAATATAAATTCCAGACAACGCGTATTTTTCCCTTTTTTAAAAACGTACAACCTGTTTGCCAGAAACAAGTTTCTCAAAATGTTACCTAACTTTACGAATACGAAAATAGCTTACTCGATGATTCACAAGTACTCTTAAAAGCTATAAAAAATATTTTAAAAATACAAATATAAATTCCTGAGAAATGTTCAACCTTGAGAGTAACGCAGCAAATGGTCCTGAAGTTCGAGATGTGGGTTGTCAAATTTATCCCCGAGAAACACCATTCACGGAGCTTGTGAACGATCTTGGCAATGGCGATAACGACACATGTGGAGCTTACAGATAACCGTAGTTATGTCGGTAATCAGAGCATGAATGCCCCGACTGCGGGTGTAGGCTGTCGTCGTCTGAGTCGAGGTGTGTGAGGTAGACGGGGCGCGTCGACCCCGGTGTCGTCAGTTGGATGACGCGCCCCCTCACGTGTCTCGTCTCGGTGTCATGGCGATGTGTAGACTTGCCGGTAGACATGTAAAGTTTCCACTAATCTCACCAGAAACGAAATAATTAAAGAAAGTGATATTAATTTTTAAGAGATACTTTATCTAAAATATCATGAGACATTTTGAGCGCAGACGTCAAAGGCGTTAAAATCCGCTTAGCAGAGTTGCGTGTCTTCGGTGAGCCATGATCCTGTGACCGTAGGTTCGAACCCAATATTTGTCCTGAATATATTTATTGGTTTGTCAGCACAGGACCCGAGCTCAATGGCTTCAGAATACGACGTGCTTCACTACGGGTTTCCCTTTCACGTTTTATGCTCTAAACCCGTGAAGATCCGGGTTAGAATTGGTCTTCAGCAATCCATGCTTATCTTAAGAGGCGACTGACGGGATCAAGTCAGGCTCGCTGACTTGGTTGACACATGTCATCGTATCTCAATTGCGTAGATCGATGCTCATGTTGTTGATCACTGGGTTATCTGGTCCAGACTCGATTATTTGCAGACCGCCGTCATATAGCTGGAATATTATTGTTTGCGGCGTTAAACAACAGGCAAACAAACAAACAAACATCTCGACAAGACACTTGTTTGTCTTTCACAATGGGATGGACCCGTGAAGGTCCGGGTTAGAATGAACCTTCAGTAACCCATGCTTGTCGTAAGAGGCGACTAACGGGATCGGGTGGTCAGGCTCACTGGCTTGGTTGACACATGTCATCGGTTCCCAATTGCGCAGATCGATGCTCATGCTGTTGATGACTGGATTGTCTGGTCCAGACTCTATTATTTACAGACCGCGGCCATATAGCTGGAATATTAATAATGTAAAAAGATAAACTCACTCACCCACAGTGGGATGTTTACTAAAAGGACATTTTATGAGATAAATCTTCTGAAAAAGAAGTGTATTACAGCCCCAAGTCGGAGAGGGTGATTTACAAAAACCCCTGCTGTGTCCCACATCGGGCCTTTATCGTTCGTATTTCACGAGTTTGATTCCACACATGGTGTCTGATATTACCTGCCTGAATCTTGTTTCAGTATTGCAAAAACTGGCCCAACCTTACTCACATACGTCCTCACGTTCTCGAAAAAACACACAAAACGAATGGAATACAGAAGCAAAGACTAGCACCCTACATACACATGCCATTTATATCCATTACATGCTGTAACCTGCATCTTATCACTTGTTATTACTTGATTGTAGTCTTTACAGCTTGATAAAAAATCTACGTCGAAACGTCGCTACAAGATGACCCGTGAAGATCCGGGTTAAAATTGATCTTCAGCAACCCATGCTTGTCTTAAGAGGCGACTAACGGGATCGGGTGGTCAGGCTCACTGACTTGGTTGACACGTGTCATCGTAACCCAATTGCGTAGATCGATGCTCATGCTGTTGATCACTGGATTGTCTAGTCCAGACTCTGAGTGCGGCGCTAAACAATAAACAAAATAACTTTAAAGCGCCGTTTAAACTGAATTTATAAGATTGAATATTGCTGCAAGAATGCAAGATAGTCGGATAGAATATATTATTGTAACAATATTATATAGTTCTACTCAGCTGCATATTTCGATATCTTTGGAAAAGGGACTGGGTCCAGTCTACATATAGTCTGTTTACAGTGAAAATATACCGATGAATTTCACTTTAAACAAGAAAGTAAATCAAATAAAGTGAAATGAAATTAAGATTGCGAATCCTGATAATTTTACCTTGCCAATTGAACATTTGAATCTCAGAATTTTATTCAACTTAGGATAAAAGTTGTTTAACAAACGATCATAGATTCAAATCGCTATTATTGGTTTGTATTACAAGGGGTAAGTACAGTAGTTGGAACACTGAAACAAATGCACGTGTGGTACGTGATGAGCGTTAACTTAGACCAACCCTACTTGTTCTCGGTGTTTCATTTAATGTGCACACACCCTTGTAATACAAACTAATAATAACGATATGAAACTAAGATCGTTTGTTAAACAACTTTTATCCTAAGTTTAATAAAATTCTGATATTTAAATGTTCAGTTAGCAAGGTAAAATTATGAGGATTCGCAATTTAATTTGACTTTATACGATTTACGTTCTTGTTTAAAGTGAAATTCATCGGTACGTTTTCACTGCAAACAGACTATAGTTGTGTTGAACTGCATGCCACGAGAACGATATGTTTGTCACGTGGTGTGTTAATATTTTCTGCCAACTGCCACAATATTTCACCCGACGTCTGGATGGGCGGGCTGCACGGGGCAGGATGAGTCATGTGTTTGTTTGTTGCTTACCTCCGCACGCTATCTCCACATGATCAAATCTGGACCAGAGAATCTAGTGCTTGACATGAGCATCGACTTCCGCAAATTGAGAATGAGTGAGTTTAATTTTACGCCGCAATTAGAAATATCCCGCAACATCACGGCGGGCGACAACAGAAATGGGCTTCACACAATGTACCCATGTGGGGAATCGAACCCGGGTCTTCGGCGCGACGAGCGAACGCTTTAACCACTCTGCTACCCCACTTCCCCACGTAATTGAAACCACGCCTGATCCCGTTATTTCCTTTTAACGATAAGCTCGGTCCGTCACGAGGTCCGTCTCTGTATCTCGGGACCATCTCTGTACCAGCCTGTGCCGGGCATATGTCGATAACGTGTCTGTGTACAACATAGTGTGTAGATATGTAAACACAGCGCATTAATGTATAGGTCCAGTTGTTGCCAGATACGCCATGTTACACATGTCGATAACATGTTGATTGCAAATATGTTCAAGACGATTACCAATCGATAGACTGTTGGTTGATATGTTGTTTATCGCCGCACTCAGCAATATTCCAGCTATATGGCGGTGGTCTGTAAATAATCGAGTCTGGACCAGACAATCATGTGATCAATATCATGAGCATCGATCTACACAATTGGGATACAATGACATGTGTCAGCCAAGTTAGCGAGCCTGACCACCCGATCCCGTCAGTCGCCCCTTACGACAAGCATGGGTTGCTGAATATCAATTCTAACCCGGTTCTTCTCGGGTCTTCTTGTAACTACGTTTCGACGTAGATGTTTACACCGTTATCAAACAGGAGAGATTACAATCAAGTAATGACAAGTGATAAGCAGCTGATTACAACGAGTAATGAATAAATAAACACACAGCGTCAGAGTAAAACTTGCACGCGGGTGATCGGTGTCTTCCCATTCTGCCTACAGTCCCAGTCTGCCTACACGTTAAAACAACATGATACGATCTAGTGATCAGGAAGTATAGTTTATGTGCTGACCTATTCTACCTTTATTAAAATGATCAAACGTGACAAACGTGAAGATTAAAAATGAAAGGAATAGAAAGCTGATTGAATACTATTTATACAGCTGAATGAGATGACTTGATATTAATAAATGAATGTCATTTCCTATTTGAATGTAAAGTTTATCATGACTTGCCCTGTAAGTATTTTAAAGCATTACCATATTACATGGATGATCAACACTTTTTGAACACATTATCATGTACCAATTTTTCAACAGCAACAAATTGTTCTAATTACATTAAGGAAGCATTGTCATTGCGTTCTTCATACATATGAATTTGATTGTCAATTGCCACTATCTTATAATTACACTTGTTTATTTTGTATTGTACGTGGGCCTAAGCCCTTTTTACGAACAGGACCGCCTCCGTGGTGTAGTGGCTAGAGCGTCCGCCAGGAGAGCGGAAGGTCGCGGGTTCGATCCCCGACCGCGTCATGCCAAAAGACGTTAAAATATGGTACTTGTTGGTCCCTGCCTGGCGCTCGGCATTAATGGGTACAACAAGGACTGGTCGGCTCGGAGTCAGTATAATGTGTCTGAGTGGGGTATTCATGCTTCACTGCGGCATGGCATCTCAGTGGGCTAGCACTATAAAACCAGCTTAAGTCTGGGCTAGTACAAGCAGCCGCACATACACATACACACGCATGCACGTCGTCATATGAGCGAAATATCCTCAAGCACGACGTTAAACCCAATTTCACCTCACCTCACCTTCTTCTCTCCAGTATACCCAGGTGAAGGTCACCTACATGGGGATATTTGACGGCCATGCTGGAACCGGGGCAGCACTCATGGCGTCGCATCTACTGGAGACACACCTACAGGTGAGATATAGTCGCCTCCACTCAACTCATTTATTTCTCAGAAATATCACCCAAGGTGGTGCTTAACATACAATTATTTTAAATTCCAATGTTTATTTAGACCCATAGTCAACAAATGCCACCAAGATAATAAAATGAATGAAAGAAATCGATGTTTGAAAAGACATACCTCCAAACCAATCAGGTCAATTTCTAAGCAAAATTACCTGTGATTATATTTAATTGTTGTTTGGTTGGTTGGTTACTTGCCTGTCATCGATCTACACAATTGGGGGGCGGTGGGGTAGGCTAATGGTTAAAGCGTTGGCTCGTCACGCCGAAGACCCGGGTTCGAATCCCCACATGGGCACAATGTGTGAAGCCCATTTCTGGTGTCCCCCGCCGTGATGTTGCTGGAATATTGCTAAAAGCGGCGTAAAACCAAACTCAGTCAGTCAGTCAGTCTACGCAATTGGGATACGATGACATGTGTCAACCAAGTCAGCGAGCCTGACCACCCGATCCCCTTAGTCGCCTTTTACGCCAATCATGGGATGCTGAAGATCAATTCAAACCCGGATCTTCACGGGTCTATATTTAATTGATTTCTGTCACGGTACTTTAAAAGGCGAAAATCTGGGTATACAGAACAAGGTGTATAGTCCTGAAAGAGAAAATCAAACATTTCTCTTATTTCATTTTCTTTCATACTGGGGGCGGTGGGGTAGCCTAGTGGTTAAAGCGTTGGCTCGTCACGCCGAAGACCCGGGTTCGAATCCCCACATGGGTACAATGTGTGAAGCCCATTTCTGGTGTCCCCCGCCGAATATTGCTAAAAGCGGCGTAAAACCAAACTCAGTCAGTCAGTCCTTTCATACTGCCCTATATTTCAAAAGGTAAATGAATATAACCAGACATACCACTCCATCCTTAGCCTGTCTACAAAAGGAAAAACAATACGAAACAAAAAGGGAAGCATTATTTTTATCTATTGCATTTTATCTCGTGTCTATTTCGATAAGTACCGTTTATCTATATACTACCAAGTTTGTTTGGGAAATGACGTCACCAGTTAACTGTATCTGATCGGTAGCCAATCATAAAACTTCTCTCGCTCATATGTGTAATTTGATTGGCTGGCCGTGAAAAGTGGTGTCGTTTGAATCGGATGGAAAAGGATCAAGGGAAAATAATATACTCTCCCAAAAAAGAAACGCATCATGAAAATAGCAATTTCATGTAGCAATGAATTAAAACGTGATTCATTTTACAAAAGATTTTGCTCTGTTTATGAGTCCTATGGTGTCTATGTTTTGAAACATCACAATAAAACGCACCATCCGTAAAATACCCGTATTTAACAGCATGATTTTCAATTTCGGCGTGTAGTGTCACAGAATACACAATTCAAATGCAATGCACGTGAAAGTTTGGGATCAGATAGTCTCAATGATGGGTATAAAAGGTTGATCGCTGTCTGTCGATTATTCACTGTATTTGGAATATTGTTGACGAACGCAAAATGCCACGTCTAAGTGAAGCCAACCGTCATATCGCCATTGGTTTGCTTGAAGCTGGCCAGTCTCAACGTGCAGTTGCCCGACGCATGAATGTTCACCAAAGCACCATTTCACGGGAGAGATATCGCCGGCAGAATTCGGTAGCAGATGCCCCTCGTAGTGGGCGACCTCGAGCGACCACTGCGGCGCAGGATCGCTACATCCGGGTACATCACCTGCGTGATCGAACAGCTACGGCGACCAGTACCGCTCGACAAATACCCGGATTGAGGAGGCTTTCTGCACAGACCGTCAGGAACAGGTTGAGAGAGGCTGGTTTACGTGCCAGAAGACCTTATTTTGGCCCTGTGCTTCGACAACAACATCATCGACATCGAGTTCAATGGTGCACCAACGTTCAGGCCTGGAACCTACCGAATTGGCGTAGAATCTGGTTCAGTGATGAATCACGATTTCTACTGGAACGACGCGATGGAAGAATGCGGGTGTACAGACGTCGACGTGAACGTTTCGCCGACGCTTGCGTTCCCAAGGTGGACAGATTCGGCCGGGACAGTGTTATAATATGGGGGGAGATCACCTGCCGTAGGAGAAGTGATTTGGTGATGATCCAGGGCAACCTGACAGCACAACGGTACTGTGACGAAATCCTACGCCCACACCTCTTTCCAATCATTGATCGCCAGAGGGAGTTGTTTCAACAGGACAATGCCAGGCCCCACACAGCACGTCACACTAGAGACTTCCTCCAGAACAACATCAATGTGCTCCCCTGGCCCTCAAGATCACAGGACTTAAACCCGATCGAACATCTGTGGGATGCCCTGGACAGACGGGTGCGACGCCGTAACCCTCAGCCCCAGACACTTCAGCAACTTGCACAGGCACTACAGGCAGAGTGGGCTCCGATTGGGCAACACAAGATTCTGAGACATATTCGTTCGATGCCGAGGCGATGCCGTTCAGTTCTGGATGCCCACGGTGGTCACACGAGGTATTGACTTCAGCGCCACCACACGTCTCCATGCGACACTCAAACTGACTTTCCTCGAGTTGGTGCCAAAGACGGTTAAGTCTGCATTCCCAGTGTGCAATTTCGCTATATTTCATTGACTCATAAAGCCTACAAGATTTTTTAAAAACCCGTAAAAATACAGTTGAAATTCCTATATGCGTTTCTTTTTTTGGGAGAGTATAGTTTGGTTTATTGGTTAATCGAGAATGAAATGATTGACAGAATGAAACCGGTTTCACTAAAATTTTGTAAGAAAACGTGATGTACAGGGTCGAGTTTATATTTTAAATATGATATGAGCTGAGTTGTGGGGACGTTTAAGAATTTATAGCAAATTCGCATATTATCAAATTTTGTTTATGTACATATACTGTGTCGATAGTAGAATGCCTACGTAGATCTGCGTAGATGACTCGTAAATAGTCCGAGTTAGAATTGGTCTCCAGCAACCAATCTAGTCATAAGAATCGGCTAACGGGATCGGGTGATCAGGCTGTTTGACACATGTCATCGTTCCTCAAATTTGTAGATCGAGCCTCTGATTGACTGGATTGACTCGATTCTTTGCCGTCATTAAACAACAAACAAACACAACTAGTGTATCTTAGGATACCTACTTCTGTCGTGCTTAAAAATGGCAGGTCTTCAAACTGATGGGGGACCGAATTAAATTATTTGTTGTTGTTGTTGTTGTTCTTTTTACTTTATTGTTGTGAGAGAGATGCGAGTTACGATAACCATGATAATTTAATTCTGTTTCACAGGAGAAGCTGACTGAGGTAAAAGAAAATATTCTGGAACTTGGAGAGAGTGAGATAGTGACACCATTGCACCCAGCCATCACTGCTGACCGCCTCATCATCGGCGCTCTGGAGGCAGCGTTCTGCTCCCTGGTGAGACCCGAACGTCAGCGTGTTGCACAAATCTAAACAAAAACATTTTTAATTGGTTTATATAGTTTGTTCAGTATAGGTTTTCTTGTAGGAACTAAAATATTATTGTTATGGAAATATATTTTCGTAAGTTTCCAATACGTCCAATCCACACCATTCAAACTTTGTTTGTTTGTTTATTTGTTTTATAACACCGCAGTCAGCAATGTTCCAGCTATATGGCGGGGATTTGTTACCAGGCAATCCAGTGATCAGACAATCCAGTGATCAACATCATGAGCATCGGTCATCACGGAACAATTGAATACTCTTTGTTGTACCGTGATAATTAGAAATGTTGGTTAAAGTGAGAAAAAGTAACCAGTATTTGATTACAAATCAGAACAGAATATCTTTCACCATGGCATGTCTGCTTGTAACGTCATTGAGTGTGGTTGACCGTGTCCTTGACCTTGCAGGATGAACAGATGGCAAGGGAGAGAACTACGTACGTCATTCGCGGTGGCTGCACAGCTCTTGTGGCCATGTTTCTACTTAATACATTATACGTGGCGAATGCAGGAGATTGCAGGTAAGTAATAACAGCCCAGTCTTTTTAGGGCTGGCATCTGTACTTTCACTACGATCAAGTATGCACGGGTGGTCTCTCTCTCTCTGGCAGCTGACCGTCATAAATGATCACCATATGCTTCGGTTCAGTCGTTTGTAGTAAGCCACACAAATGTTAAAATTTGAAACTGGTTTGTACCAGTACCCCTTAAAAACAGTCTATTTATTATTAAACATTGATTGACTCGGGAATGGGCTTCACACACTGTTCCCATGTGGGGAATCGAATCCGGGTCTTCGGCGTGACAAGCGAATGCTTTAACCACTAGACTACCCCACCACCCCTCGTGTTAAGAAATGATAACATTTGACGCACGTTATAAATTAACATACTTATCTGCTTCGGTTCAGTTATTGGTTTGTAGTCAGCTAACATAATTGCATATCTCTGACCAAACTCATGTAACACAGATGTCATATCTCAGATTAAATCGCTGACTTGCAACTGGTGTGCTGGTGATTAGGTCCCTCGTTCTGAGAGTCTGGGTTCGAATCCTGGATTGGACTCAACCCAATCAGTACTAGAATCTATACTTTACCGAGAAAGTGTAATCTGAAAGTAACATGTGTTACAATGTGTGATACTTCCATTAAAAGAATCTTTGCAGATAAAGAAGTGTCTGAATTGTTTAATATCGCCCCTTTTTCCTTAAATATCATCCCGGAAGTAATGCATTCAGAAAATCACATCCTAGAACAAAGGAAAGCAAGAAATACAAGTGTAATTCCGTCATTTGACACGAAGAGCAGTCTGACACGCTCAAAATAGGCACATACTCAATTTACGTTATCAGACCAGCACAGCCCCGTTATAACAAAGAGATAGCATATAAAATTAAAGGTCACATGCAACGTAAAACACAACTTTGCAGATTCTGATACCATTCAGTATGGACTTACAGATACAAATCATCCAAAATGCAAATTCAACTTATACAGTTGAAAAATAACGCGATGAAAAACCCGCGAAATCGGAGTTCCAACGAATCACTAAATTCACCCCAGCTTGGGGTGAAAAGTGGTTTCAACAGCTGTGCTGCGCTGCGCTGGGCTGCGCTCATAGCATATGCGCAGTGAATAGGTTCGCGCAGCTTGGAAACGGGATGTCCGGATTATAAGGTCGTGAGCAGGAGTAGTCTAATCAAAACAAATAGTAAATAATCTACTCGTTACATAAAAGAACCTTGTTAGGATCTAGATCTACTCAGCTATGTGTCAAACAGTGAGTCGTTCGACATTTCAAGACGGAAAACTTTCGCTGCGGTGAATACTCGGTGAAGGCTTTGATGTGAGCTATTTTTCTAATGTTTTGTTGATATTTCACAGGCGCGAGCTTTTTATATGTTATGTTTATATAATTTAATTTGTCTATTTCACCATACGTTCTTCTTACCGAGTCACTTTCTCAGTTCGATTTTGTCCGGTTACCGATATAGATATGTCTCTGTCACAGACAAAACTCAGTGTCTGTTTTATTGACACCTATGTGTCTGCCTGCCTGTCTGCTAATGACAATATGCAATACACAACTTCGATCACTGACCACATGCAATTTGAACTTAACACCTATCAGGCTATACACCATAAACAAAACGCATTGATTTATGGCTCGTGCCCCCGAGTTCGGTCTCTGTCACATTATGTAATTACACAGACAGGCAGGTGTGATACTTGTATACATGACATGTTATGATGTCTGTTGATTGCAAAATGTTATACATAAAAATGAGCATGTATTTACAAAACCCAACATCTCTATGCACACACACACACACAATGAGCATCGGCAAATGAATCAGCCAATGATAAGTCTTCGTTACACTTGAGTGCACCCGCTCTGACTGGGTTCGGTATCCCGGGTGCTTCGTTTCGAGGGAAGTAAACCCAAGTACAAAATATTGCACTTTTGATTTGCGATTGTACGCTTATAATTTTGTTTATATGTTTTTTTTATAATCAGCCATGTATATGTCATGAATAAGTGATAATTGTGTTTTAATTATGTTTGATTTTTTGGTTGCATGTGACCTTTAAATATTTGCCATAAAACCTAATGCTAGTGCTCTCTTTTGTAAGATGTCCATCGTCAGATCGTGGATTCAGCTGACAATTGTCAATCTTTGTTACAATAAGGGGGTTCACGTTTGTTGCAACAAAAATGGAATTTCAATATGGCCGCCAGACAGCCAAAAATTCTCCAGAGCGTAAAATGAACAGAAGAATGAAATCAACTGGTTGGTTAACAGCAACAGTTTTGGGATTGCGGATTTCTAGAAATCTCCGTAAACATTTTTGCAGAATGCACTGGACCCAACAAAAATGACCCCTATATTTGAGATTTCAAACCGATTTTTCAAAATGTCCGCCACTTAACACGTGAAAAAAGGTTTTGTAATGCACGTGTTCGTTTATTTTTATTTTGTTGATAACTATCCAGGTGAGCTATAGTGCCATAGAACTGTATTTATATCATACATACACTTTAAGAGATGCAAGGTGTTACAGGATACATTCTGAATAAAGCTGGTCTGCTTACTACTCACAGTGCCATCCTGAGCATCAATGATGAGATCATACCCATGTCAAGAGAGCTGTGCCCAGCAGGGGAGATGCTACGGCTTCAAACAATGGTAAGCACTTACAAAACAATATATACTTCCTTTCAAAAGTTTTGACTCGCTAGGGTAAATATAGCCTCTTACTTCAGGCAACTGTTTTAAACTAAATTTTGCAAAATATACCATACTGTTTAAAGGCACTGTTTACACATGAATTGATGTATGGGAAAACAAATTTGTAACGTTGAAAAGATTATTGTCATGAGTTCAATAAATGATGAAACTCAGTGAAAACTGGCGAATTCTCAACAAAACTTTACACCAAATCGCAGCTGTTCACATGCACGATATTTGTTTATTTGTTATGCTCTCTCTCTCTCTCTCTCTCTCTCTCTCTCTCTCTCTCTCTCTCTCTCTCTCTCTCTCTCTCTCTCTCTCTCTCTCTCTCTCTCTCTCTCTCTCTCTCTCTCTCTCTCTCTCTCTCTCTCTCTCTCTCTCTCTCTCTCTCTCTCTCTCTGCAAACGTCGCATAACCATTACTGTTATTTCTTCTATTGAGATCGAGGTTGCGTTGGTTTTCAGCAACCCTTGCTTGTTGGTTGACGAGACTAACGGGGTCGGGTTGTCAAGCTCGCTTACAGTCTCAGTCAAAATGATACCGTTGAATCACAATCTCACTCAAAATCGGTACATCATCAAACATTCATTTCAACGCAGAATGTAATAAAAACATCAGACCAACTCTGGAAAAACGTTTGTCTCCAAAATAAAAACGTTCCTTAACAAACCATTATCATTTTGTTTTTATTTATGTGCGAAGTTTTACGAGGGTAAAATAACAGTAGTACTGTTGCAGGAACATCCTCAAGGGCGGGAAGCACGTGCAGCTTAGGATGTCAACATTTAGGGGTTGTATCAACATTTAGGGGTTGTATCAAAACTCTTCCGGTCTGGAATCTGAGGAAATTCCTGATTCACTTATGATGATTGGTTGAATGGTGGCATAATCTAAATTACTTTTTATCCAGTACTCTTTCTCTATTTCATTTTCAACTGAAATGAATGTTTGATCGTGAACTAATTTTGACCCAAACAGACTATGCTTGGTTAACACATGTGGCCGTATCCCAGGTGTGTAGAGCGATGCTCATGATCATAAATGGATTGTCTGGTCTAGACTCAGATATTTATTGTCAGACACTGGTGTATGTTTCCGTTGTTTGACCTAAAGAAATTGTGTTAAATGTGTTTTTCAGGCATTTGCAAACCCCAGTCTTTTGCGAAACGAGTTCAGTAACAGAGCCTTCTGTCGGCGGGTATGGAACGAGGATCTAGGGAAGAAGGTTCTTTGTAAGGAGCCAATGTCCGACGGCTGGTGAGTTTGCCACTTCCTTCTGTAGATACCCATGTCCGACGGCTGGTGAGTGTGCAACTTCCTTCTGTAGATACCCATGTCCGACGGCTGGTGAGAGTGCCACTTCCTTCTGTAGGGTCCCATGTAGCAGAGCTCGCGAGTGGCCCTCGAGTTAACTCGACCGATACTTGACAAACGACGACTGTCATAACGTCAATCTAACAGACCCAAGTGAATGATTCTGCTTAACAATAGACACAGGTCAAGTTATTCAGGTCTACAAAAACTACAAAACTAAACAGACTTACTACGTCAGATAATAAGATTAACTGTTTTCAGGGTATACCGGGAAGTGACGTCAGAAGACATCCGGTCGCCCCTTATTCGAGGCGAAGGAAAGAAGGTATGTGTTTTCTCGTCTTTCGAACACTCTATTGTAATCAATGGGACTGCGTTGGTCTTTAGTTTTAGCTGGAGCAATCTAAGTGTTTCAACACCCGCCGTTACCTGACATATTCCAGTGTAACTGAAACGCTGATGAACCCCATTAAATCACGGGTCTTAATCATCACACTGTCCGGGTTAGTATAGGTCAACTAATGCCTGTTATGCGAGGCGACTTAATGGACCCGATGATCCGAGACAGTGACTTGGCAGATTGCTTGGAATGCCACACGGATTACTTACAGGCTGCCGCTGTATATGCAGCTTAAGTACTGTTTACTTCCACGTAAAACATGAACACAAGGGTTGTAGATTGAACATGGTCCATGCTTTTCTCACACGCACGCGCATGCACGTACATACATACATACGCACCCATTAAATGGGTCATATAAATAAGTTGAACCTCAAACCATTTACTTATACGTACGCTCACATACAAACACGCGCGCATACGCACACACAACACACACTTAATCAACTGATTAATATTAACGATGTCATATAAATAAGTTCAACCTCAAACCCTTTACTCATACGCACACACATACGCACTCACAACACACACACTTAATCAACTGATTATTATCGATGTCATATAGATACGTTGAACCTCAAATTCTTTCCTATTTTCGACAGTCACGTCTGATGGACACAATCGGCGTCTCACGCTGCCTGGGTGACCATGACCTTCTTGTGTTTGGCACGGACATCAGGATCAAGCCATTCCTCATCCCAAACCCAGAGGTATGATCCCTAGCGACGTGTTGCTTCTACGGAACTCTTTGGCTGCCAGGATTTGCTGGACTCGGGTTCGAATCCCAAGTAATAATTCCAGCGCTTGTTAGCACAAGCTGTCAAGTGCTTTATAAGAGACGCACGTGACATCGCAGTTCGCTAAGTGCTGCGTCACTCAGACCTATATGAACCTGTGATTGGGTTCGAATTCGAGGTTCACCTCGTGTATTTATAGGGCCCTTAAGTAGGTGACGGCACTTCGCGAGACCCAGTCTAAGTAAACTTAGGCTCAGTATTATTCGTTACACTGCTATACTGAGTCTAACAAAACCTTGTAGAAGGTCGGTGTCAGCTAACCTTTGAGCGACCTATGACCGTCCAATCAAACGAGAGACGGCCGAACGGATTTAACCAATCAGACAGCGACTACTTGTTAGGGTTCGGCGGGACTTACAAAACGGTTTTTTTGAATTTTCTCTTCCCTGGTCGCTGACACTGATCTATCAACAAACGAAAATCCGCATAAAACACATATATTTGACCTGCAGTATATACGCTTATGGGTTTCTAATGACATGGTTACTATTTGCTTATATTTTCGCAAGATGACATCCTTGAATATTGAAAAAACGCTATTTTCAGCGACTGTTTACTCATTGCGTGTATCACTCGGAAGCGATCGTGCGGAAAATAGCTTTCGGAATCGCTCCAGCTTTTGAGGTAAAGGTTCAAGCGGTATGTGCGAATGTTAACTTTCGCGATTTGGTAAGCTGTGTTCTGATTGGTCAGTCCAAAAGGTTAGCTGACGCGACCTTCTACAGTGTTTTGTTAGACTCAGTATAGCAGTGTAACGAATAATACTGAGCCTAAGTTTACTTAGACTGCGCGAGACCTTTAGTACCCCCGGTGACAAACAACGTACACTTGGTCCGGTCTAGTAAACTCATATTTAGCGGTCGCGCAATTTGTAACCAGAACTGGTTCTTGAATATACGCTTGTCACCGGAAATCAGTACCGGAAGTAAGCTGGGCCCCTTCTAGCATATTGCAAGTTGGCGCGCACAAACAGGAACCCGCTTAGTACCAGAAGTAGCGCCTCGCGAGACTTACAGGCCCGTCAGTACCGCGCCCGTCTTCATGGTTTTTACCAGATGTACAATCGTCTACGACCTGCATCTTGAGGTGTTCATCTCACATCACCGTGACAGAGAGTCTGTTCAATCCGGCGTTAAACTAATCTCCCGGTTTAGTCATCCGTAACTTTTATGCGATTCTTATCTCCAACATCAGCAAAGCGACGCGGAAAAAATGAATAGATATAATTAAAAATTATTATTCAATATTATGAACTTATTTTATTGATTTTATTTTTAAGGTCACTTGCTGATAGTCTAAATATATATTTATGATGCAGATCGAATCGCTTTGCTTCGGAGACAATTGTTTAATACATGTACATAAGGAAAGGTCAAGCTGACCTGGGCCTCCTTTCACAAAGCACTATAGTCTGTTTGCAGTGAAAACGTACCGATGAATTTCACTTTAAACAAGAAAGTAAATCAAATAAAGTGAAATTAGGATTGCGAATCCTCATAATTTTACCTTGCCAACTGAACATTTAAATATCAGAATTTCATTAAACTTAGTTGTTTAACAAACGATCTTAGTTTCAAATCGTTATTATTGGTTTGTATTACAAGGGTGTGTGCACATTAAATGAAACACCGTGAACAAGTAGGATTGGTCTAAGTTAACGCTCATCACGTACCACATGTGTATTTGTTTCAGTGTTCAAACTACTGTATTTACCCCCTTGTAATACAAACCAATAAAAATAGCGATTTTAATCTATGATCGTTTGTTAAACAACTTTTATCCTAAGTTGAAATAAAATTCTGAGATTCAAATGTTCAATTGGCAAGGTAAAATTATGAGGATTCGCAATCCTAATTTCACTTTATTTGATTTACTTTCTTGTTTAAAGTGAAATTCATCAGTACGTTTTCACTGCAAACAGACTATAAGGTGGTCGTAAGTCACTAAGGTAACCCTAGTGCAATGTTAAAGAATGGGTTAGAGGTTTTCATGAGTGTGGATCTATAAAAGTATTCATCACATTGTGGTGGGGCTGGGGGTGTTAGGAAGAGATAACCGTCGTGTTATTTCTGAAAATGTAAATTCGTGGCGGGCGGGACATGGTCAACACAGAAAAATACGGGCACCCTAATGTCATTCTTCGGGAGAGATTATCACCTTTTAATTATTCAGGTGTTAATTCATTGGTAGGCTCCAAATTAGCATTCGTTAAACATTCGCTAGCTGATATAATGGGTGCTCCTGCTGTACATTTAACAGATAGTGACCCCATTTTTTAAAAGCAGTTACGTTCCCTGTTTTGGGAGTGAGTTTAGTTTTACGCTGCACTCAGCAATACTCCAGCTATATGGCGGCGGTCTGTAAATAATCGAGTCTGGAACAGACAATCCAGTGATCAACAGCATGAGCATCGATCTGCGCAATTGGGAACCGATGACATGTGTCAACCAAGTCAGCGAGCCTGACCACCCGATCCCGTTAGTCGCCTCTTACGACAAGCATAGTCGCCTTTTGTGGCAAGCATAGGTGGCTGAAGACCTATTCTACCCCGGATCGTCACGGGTCCCCCTGTTTTGGATAATCCTTTAATTGACATGACCAATTTATCCTGAGTGTTCCACAATTTATCCACAAGTAATACCAGCGCTGTACATTTGGTTTTTATTCAGTAATCACAGCGTCAGTTTCGACAAGGGGACGAGAGTGAGTGAGTTTAGTTTTAATATTCTAGCTATATCATTTCTGTAAATAATCGAGTCTGGACCAGACAATGCGGTGATCAACAGCATAAGCATCGATCCGCGCAATATTGGTATACGATGTCATGTGTCAACCAAGTCAGCGAGCCTGACCACCCGATCCCAATCGTCGCCTCTTACGACAAGCATGGGCTGCTGAAGACCAATTCTAAACCGGATCTTCACGGGTGACAAGGGGGAACACGATAATAGCTATTAGTCATCATCTTTATATTTTTCATAAAAGATTTTCATGGATTACTCCAAAATAAACTGTTTTAAACAGGTGTGTCCAGTAATGCGCTCAGTAAAAAGAGTTTGTTTTAAAACTTTAAGGTGAAGAGTTTCAACTTCAATAAGAAGTCTCTGACGGAGGACGATGTCTTGATCATGGGAAGCGATGGATTGTGGGATGTAATGTCTAACCAAGACGCCGCCAGCATCGTCAAGGCAGTACTACAACAACACACAGCACAAGACCCACTCAGGCATGTAACTAGAAATACAGGTTCTACGATAGACAGTATGATCACATTAATACCTATCTAACGACCTCATTTCGTTTCCTAAACGTAACTAGCTGAATACAGTTCGTAGCTAAATAATTTTTGTTCCAGGCCACAAAGTCCGAATTTACAGCTTCTTGAAGCTTCTATTTTGGTCGATTTAGTGGTGACATGATACATCCTCCCCATCTACATACGTAAGAAGAACACATAACCTCACATCCGGGTTAGAATGACCGTCAGCAACCCGAGGCCACTAACGGGATCGGGTGGTCTAACTCGCTGGCTTGGTTGATGCGAATCTCATCGAATCTCAATTGTGTAGATCGATGATCATGCTGTTGATCACTGGGTTGTCTGGTCCAGACTCGATTATTTACAGACCGCCACCATACAGCTGGAATATTGCTGAGTGCGGCGTAAAACTAAACTCACTGTGACCTTGGATACACCCCTCCTTAATCAACAAAAGAGATGAGTGCCATGGCGTTCTTATCTTCAGATGGGCGGTGGGGTAGTTTGAAGTTTCCCTTGGTTTTGACAGGATTCGAGTTCAAGCGAGGATAAGCATACTCCAACTGCCTCAGTGAGCTTTCAATCCATATGTTTGTTGTATAACTCCACACTCAGCAAATTTTCAGCTGTAAATAATGGAGTCTGGACCAGACAATCCAGTGATTCACATCGTGACCATCGATCTACGTTAGTCGCCTCACATGACGTTAATTGACGCGTATCATATGCTTTTCAAAACTGCTAGTTGGGGTAGCCTAGTGGTTAAGACGTTCACTTGTCAGGCCGAAGACCCGGGTTCTATTCCCCACATAGGCACAATGTGTGAAGCCTATTTCTGGAGTCCGCCGCCGTGATGTTGCTGGACTATTGCTGAAAGCGACGTAAAACTAAACTCACTCGCTCACTCTTCAGGTACACTATAGCAGCTAAGGCCCTGGTAGCCCACTCTCGGGGGACGGTCTCTGAAAAAGGCTGGAGGATGGACAACGACGACGACGCCTCCTTCGACGACATCACCGCCTTCGTCATACCCTTACACATGGTGAAGAAGGTTGGAACCCGTCTCTGATGGAGGGGCTGGACCATAGAGACGTTTACGACGACGTTGTGCTTGAGTCTGTTCTTCACGAAGGCGTGGACGATTGGAAGTGCCTCCAAACAGCAATGAAATCCAGAGTTCCGTGGAATGGTGATGGGTAGTGGGGACCAGCATGGGATTTCTTCACGTCTCACATTAATTCTTCATGTTAATTCCCATGGCGTTTGCCGTCTTGCAACATGAATCTTCAACAATGCAAAATAACAGCATAGGCGGAACCAGAGGGAATCAGGTGCAACATCCCCTTTTTGTCCTGAAAATATAACCATAGAAACGCGTGAAAGCGGGTGAAAATGAGGTGTGCATACGCCCTTTCTCAAGAGTGTGCACCCCACCTTTCTCAAAAAGCTGCATCCGCCCCTGAACAGCTGCTGATAGTTTTTACGCACAAATGAGATGCTGAAGCTGTAACATCAGTATTGTGCTTGTATCTTTGTAAACGAAAATCATACATGTGAGACGACCTAGACTTAAGATTGTGTGTGTGCAAAAATACCTCATATTCACACTGAAGATGGGCCACGGAGCTCACATGTGCTAACAGCGCGCGTGCAATACTGCTGTATGATAAAAGCCAGCACGTTCACTTCCGGTTCATCTTGCGCTGCATCCGACCAACTGAATATTCACGGAGGACCCGATACTGTGCAATAACAGACCTATATAACTTTGTATTTACTGCTATGGGCATGGATGTATTGTCAATATTCATAACTTTATTATTGGTTGGGGGGATAGCGATTGAAATGACGAGTGTCTAATTATGAACGATTGATGTATTGCATATTACATTATTCACTGGAGATTTAAATGTGAATCTCAAAATTCAAGAAGTTTTCAAGATTTTAGGCGACCTGAGTGGATGATGTCGCGATTCGGGATGTAACATAACTGAAATTCTCTTCACAGTGACCGGAAATAGAGTACATCCTGTAATGTTGAGTAGGGAATATTGTAATAACGAGGAGGTCGTGCTGGTGCTGGTTGTGGTGGCGGGGGTTGTGGTGGTGGGGGTTCACGAAAAGAAGCGGTGTTATTAGGAGGGGGAAGAAGAAGAGTAAAGGGGTAGAAGAGGGAAGAAGAAGAGTAAAGGGGTAGAAGATGGAAGAAGAAGAGTAAAGGGGTAGAAGAGGGAAGAAGAAGAGTAAAGGGGTAGAAGAGGGAAGAAGAGGTAGGGTGAGAAAAAGATGTGGAGAACTGAGCACAATCAAAGCCATTTCCTATACAAGTACCAATTGTTGTAAAACTAACTATTAAATACATACTTTATTATCCAAAATTCAAAAGTCCCTCAAAACCTGCATCTCTTCAGGCGTTTCTGCTTGATGTAATAGAAAAAACAGTCGAAAGCGGCCACGAACCTAACTCCTTGTTTAGGTGTATATTGTGTGGTTTGTATCAACTTTTAATTATGCATGAACGTGTCATTAAACCGCATCTAACTTATGTGCCATCGAAAGCATGACAACATCAGGGCCCCATTTCTCGAAGCGATCGTAGCGCTAAGGTGATCGCAACTCCCATTCTTAAACATACACTTTCGATCAACGTAGCGCTAAAACCGTCTTGTGGAAAGGTGCCGGTCTTTAACCCCAAATGGAGGTTGGCTGCCATTAATCTGTTAGTGAACCCAATATGCGTAAAAATGCGTAAATATGTCCGATCCAAACATTGTATATTCTACACTAAAACCCAAAACGTCAAACAATGAAAGTCAGGGCCCACATGCACGAAGCGATCTTAGCGTTACGACTGTCGTAAAAATAAGTTTAAGTATGGGAGTAACGATCACCTTAGCAATAAGAGTTTTGTGTAACGGAACCCTTAAGTAATGCATTTGGCAATGATATATTCTGCCTTGCTACATTTCGAGTCGAGAGAGACAAAATGGCAGATAATAGGAAGCAGATGTACTTTTTTGTTTATCACTGACCATTTGATTCATTATTCGGGGCGGTGGGGTAGCCTAGTGGTTAAAGCACTGGCTCGTCACGCCGAAGACCCGGGTTCGAATCCCCACATGGGTAAAATGTGTGAAGCCCATTTCTGGTGTCCCCCGTCGTGATGTTGCTGGAATATTGCCAAAAGCGGCGTAAAACCAAACTCAGTCAGTCAGTGATTCATTATTCAACTAAAACTGTGGAATCGCAAAGTGAACATTTCTTTTAAACAGTCATCCACATTCATGCCCATTAAAGCCAATGATCGACTCCAAAAAAAACCTATTCTTTCGTCACAAAGAAATCCCGTTTCTGTCACCAGTGATAGAAATGCCACGATGATGTAACATGTGCGCAATGTTTGTGATTAGTAAGTATCTATCAAAACCCTTTTCAAAATATTTACGTTGATTTATGGAAAATAGTCCCCAATGGTCAGGTGTGTACTTTCTTTTGTCCGTCAGTTCATTACCTCGACCCCACAGACCATCCACTGAAACACATTCTTTTGTCAGAGGTGAAAATTATATGAATGGTTCGCTGGATATCATTGATGACAGAGTCTTCAAGAAATGGGTAAGCCTCGTTCTGAGATTTAACAGGACTCGATGACGTTAAATTCATTTACGAGTTGCAATATTTGCCATATATGTATAGTAACAGGTGAAGGGCCGGGTTAGAATGAACTTTCAGTAACCCATGCTTGTCGTAAGAGGCGACTAACGGGATCGTGTGGTCAGGCTCGCTGTAAAAAAGCAGCTGGAATATTGCTGCGTGCGGCATAAAACTAAACTCACTCACTCATATATGTATAGTATATATTAATACTCCTGGGGCTGGGTTCGCATCCGTATTTTGTAAAATGTATATACTTATGTCCTAAAAAAACAGTACAACTGTATGCTTCAGTTGCATATTTGTAAGATCATTGTATGAAAAACAATACAAACTGAATATGAATATGTATTTCTGCAATGTGTTGGGTTTATTACTGGGCGTCTATGATTTAATCAAAAGGGGTGAGCATCGTGGTTAAAGCGTTCCCTAGCCGTGATATTGGAAAAATATTGCTAAAAGCGGCGTAAAACTATATTCATCCCCTTTATTAAAAACACCGAGTCCACGATATAAACTTGAAACCGGGAGTTGGCTGTCCTGCCTGCCAATATTTCAACGAAACGGTGTCAGTGATTTTCCCGGATCTTCTTCAATATGTTTGTGATCCGTGAAGATCCAGATAAGAATTGGCTGCCGGCAACCCATGGTCTAACACGCTACTAATCGGGTGGTCAGACACGCTGTCTTGGTCGATGGATCTGATCGCATCCCAATCGTACAGACCGAGGCTCATAATGTAAATCACTGGATTGTCTGGTCCAGACTCAATTATTTACAGATCGCCGTCATATAGCTGGAATATTGCTGAGTGCGGCGATAAGCAACATACAAACCAAACCAAATCATCATCTTTGTTAACGGGGAACGAAGAGAAACTGTTTAAATTGTGAGAAAATCAGCTCCAAAATATCCGATTATAAGATTAGTGTTGTTTTTATATTATTTATTCTATTTATATATTTTTGGGTGGTAAAACATGTGACAACATTTCCAGCATTATCAGTACCATCATAGGTTTCTCAAATAAACCGACTGTCAGAAGTTGTCTCAATGGCTGAACCTTAAACAAAGCAGAGATTGACAAGAATATAGCCAGGATAACACTGTTCCACAAACAATCCTTTTTTAATGTTTTCTGATGTAACTTACAGCAAAAAGAGGTTTTCATATGAAATCGAGAGTCAGTCAGAAATGGACTCCATACCTTGTGTGGAATTGAACCCGGACCTTGGGCGTGACTGTCGAACGCTTTAACCACCAGGCCACATCACCGCCCTGTTATTTGGAAGTGGCTGATAGTGATGATACATGTGGTATTTTCATAACGATTAAGTTTTTATTGATACCAAAGGTCATGGTTAATCGACGTGAAGTGATCCCTTGCCAACGCCATACATGTTCTGGGCGCCAAGGCGAAATAACGAAACCATCCTTCGACATTAGAGGACACGGATTCAGCATAATGTGGCTGAGTGGGGAACCAGTGTTTGATTGGGGCGTGACATCACAGTGGGCAAGCACCATAAAACGTGCGTTGGTCAAGCATGGCACAAACACATCCAGGTACACAAGATATAAGTACAATGACCTTAAACGCGACGTGAAGCCCAGTGTCACCTTATCACCTTAACTTGACCTTTAGATAGCGCTGCAGTTGGTATCCACAGTCATTTTCCCCCGACCGCGTCATACCAAAAGACGTTAAAATATGGTACTTGTTGGTCCCTGCCTGGCGCTCGGCATTAATGGATACAACAAGGACTGGTCGGCTCGGAGTCAGTATAATGTGTCTGAGTGGGGTATTCAACTATTCATGCTTCACTGCGGCATGGTATCTCAGTGGGCTAGCACTATAATACCACTTTCAGTCTGGGCTAGTACAAGCAGCCGCACATACACATACACACGCATGCACGTCGTCATATGAGCGAAATATTCTCAAGCACGACGTTAAACCATATTTCACCTCACCTCATCTTAGTCATTTTATGGCAGTACGGTAGCCTAGTGGTTAAAGCGTTCGTTCTTGACGACCAAGACCCGGTTCGATTTCCAACATGGGTACATTGTTTGAAGCATATTTCTGGTGTCCCCGTCGTGATAGTGCTGGAATATTGCTAAAAGGCACGTAAAAACTTACTCAGAAAGTTGTGGTCACACTGATAACCTCAAAAGCAATGATGCCTATGTAAGTTATTTATAGTATATTCAGTATATGAGTGAGTGTTGTAAACAAATGAGTCTTGTTTTACGCCGCTTGTATCAATATTCGGGCGAGAGACACCAGAAATGGGCTTCACACATTATGCCCATGTGGGGAATCGATCCCAGGTCTTCGTGTGGCGAGCGAACGCTTTAACCACTAGGCTACCTCACCACCCCATTCAGTATATGAATAGTGTCGGATGAGACTCAAAATAACACAGGTCGTGTGGGTGGTAGCTGTTGCCACTTTCCAACTGTCATAGTCCATGTGAAGCTTGCATCAATAAGCAAGCAGCAGATCCTAAAACGATCAAGGGACGTAACTGTGATCAGAGAAATTCATCGCTCAAAATATTGGCACACAATTCCTTGCGCGACAGATATTGCGTACGAACGTGATGCCTGTCTTACATGGGTATGTTTTTAACGAATATATAAAGGTCTAGAGAAAAGG